GGCCCTGTATGAAGATCAGACTGATCACTTTGGCACAGGTAGCTCCATGCCTAGCACATCCCCCAGCGTGGCTCTGTTTTTGTTTTTTTTTTTGAGACAGAGTCTCACTATGTCACCCTCGATAAAGTGCTGTGGCATCACAGCTCACACAACCTCAAACTTTTGGGCTTAAACGATTCTCCTGCCTCAGCCTCCCTAATAGCTGAACTACAAGCACCTGACACACACCTGGCTATTTTTTTTGTTGTTGTTGTTGCCATTGTTGTATTAGCTAGGCCAGGTTCAAACCTGCCAGCCTCAGTGTATGTGGCTGGCGCTCTACCCACGGAGCTATGGGCACCACCCCCAGCATGGCTCTTAACATGAGGAATTAAAGAATGAATATATGGATCCTTCATGAACTTTCTAATTGTCCCTCCTTACTGATGGCATTAATGGCAATGCATCTGCCTCTAATTAACATTTTTCCACCCAACCTGGATTGACATCTTAGATTACTAGGCCATATACTGCTCCCTAAAGAAGGGATGGTTCTTGTTTGACTCTGCTTCAGCTAATGCACTTTCTGTGAATCGTCTGTAAAATGAGATTAATTCTAGAACCCTGTGCTCTAGCATTCAGTCCGTTCACAGTGTATGTGTCAAGGGTTCCTTCTGGATGCACAATTTCACGGTGCTGTGAGTTCTTGGTCTGCCTCTTGAGGGGATTGTTCAGGCGGCATTTACACTTACTATTGCTGCCCGAGATGCCAGCCCAAACTCAGTGATTTCAAAGCACCACCATTTTATTACACTCATGGATTTTGTGAGCCAGGAATTTGGAGAAGGCATAGCAGGATCTTTCTTGGTTCTGTACTATATGAAGCCTCAGGTGAGAAGACTCAAAGGCTGGGGGTGACTTCATAGCAGGTGCTAAGGTGTGTCTTTGTTCCTTCAGGCTGCTTTTAACAAAAGGCCTCAGACTAGGTAATTTATAAACAACCAAAGTCTATTGCTCAGAGTGCTGAAGGTTGGAAAGTCCGAGATCAAGGCACCAGCAGATTCAGGGTCTGCTGAGGGCTTGCTCTCTGCTTCAGGGATGCACCTCCATCCTCATATAGCAGACGGGGCAAAAAAGCTTGCTCTGGCATCTTCTATAAGGTAATGACCCATTCACAAGGCACCACCCTCTGTAACCTACTCACTTCTCAAAGGACCTACCTCAACATAGGAATTTGGGGCAGTTACAAATATTTAAAACACAGCCAGGTGCATTCGCTTTCATGTCTGGTGCACGGCATGGGCTGGGGGACCTTGTCAATCAGAACACTTACATGGGGCCTTCCAAGTAACATGGCCTCCTCCCAGCACGGCAGCTGTAAGCTGGTCAGAATTTTTACAGAGTGCCTCAGAAATCCAAGTGCGAGTACTCCAGCGGACAGGGTGGTGCGTCACCGTTCATGACAGCCGCAGAAGTCACGTGGCATCACCTCCTTAATCCTGTGTATGTTTCTCATATCTGGAAAGTGTACACAGTGTTAGAGGATTAGAGGGATTAGACTGCACTTGTTGATGGGCGGGTGGCCAGGTGGCATCACAGAATGGCACCATCACAGCCACCATTGGAAATCTGCTGAGTCCAAGAAAATAAATAGGAAATCACAGAATTTCCTTGCCCACTAAGAAAACCAGTGACCTCAATACTGAAATAAAGAAAAGAAAAAGTAATTCATTAAAATCTTTGAGAGAAAGCCAACTTTCCGGTGTTCCAGACCTGCATGGTTCTTTGAGAAAGCTCCTAGAATGTGTGGAGGAAGAGTTACAGAATCACAGCTGACGCCGCCGCCTCCCTAAAATGAGTTGGACTAGTCACTGCAGACAGAGAGTTAGTTGGAGAGGGCCCTGTAGAAGGTTAGGAACATGGATTTATGGATTGGATAGGGAGTTAGCAAATGCTGCAGGGTTAGAATGATGAAAGGAGACGATCTGAACAGGCCCAGGATAGAGCCCTGTTCTTGGCAGTGGATTTCATGGTAAGCAGTAATACTTGACATAAGAATAACACTCTATTATGTATGTGATTATGCTGAAGTCATAGTTATGCTTGAGTTGTATTTTTAGATTTCTGTAATTTTTGCCAGTCCATGAGTCCTCCCCTTTTCTGCTGGTAAAAGACTGGCCTGTCCACCTGAGAACTGTTGATCCCCTCCCTGGTGGGGCTGTTAAATGCAGGTCCTGGCCCTCTGCTCTGAGCTCATGGTCCAGGCTGGCTTCCTGCAATGATGCCTGCAGTGAGTGGCTAAAATCTGTATTGGGGTGGAGTCTTTAATGTGGGACCAGTATCCTTTCTTGGGGATTATCCTGGCTGCTGAGAGAGAGAGAATTCTCTTGTTCTGAGATTGTGTGTGTTAAGGATCATATGAACTGGCCATGCTGAGAGACAGAGACAGAGTAATGATGTGCTATTTTCTGAACTGTTGGGAAACAGCTATGTTTGGAGCCAGAGCTGATTGTGTCAATGAATTCTCTTTGTAACCTATACTAATTCTAGCTGGGATTCTGTCCCTTGTAACCATAGGGTCCTGACTTACATGTTAGTATATAAGCAACACCCCATACGGTCCCCTAGATGAAAAAGCACCTTTTGGTGTAGCTAGAAATGGAGCTCAGCACCGGGGAGCTCCTAAGTTCCAATGCTGTCATGATTCTGGAGTTTTCCTGGGCAGAAAGGTGAGCAGTAAACCTCTCTGCTGGTTCATGAACTTGAGAAATACTAGGTTTGTCATAAGAGAAATAGGGACATCGCTACACTAATGATGGCTGGATACTCTCTGGACAGACCTCATGCATATATTCTTGGCCTTCAGACCTGGACCACTAGCATCACACGTGTCCTTTTCATTACTAGCAGGGCTTTAGCGGGCTAGGATCACAGAGAAAGGTTTGCGAGAAAAAAAAAGACTTGAGAATATTGGGTTCCTTAAAAATGGAAGCTGTTCTTCTCTGGTGCAGATTCATGTGCTCACA